TTATATATGCTTCCATAGGGACAGGCTGGTGTTGAAACCACATCCCACGTTCATCCCTAAAGTGGTCTCAAATTCCACCTAAACAAATCTGTTTACCTGTCTTCTTCCTGAAGCTTCATTCAATGTTGGGAGAAGAACTGCCTACTCTGGATGTCTCCAGAGCTTTGCTCTATTACCTCAGGCTGTCGTGCCATCTCTTCGTAGTCATATTTGGTGCAGCAAAAGGCCAAGCTATAACACAGCAGAGAATTTCTAAGTGTATCACACAGTGTATTTCCAGATGCTATCAAATGGCTGGGGCACCTCTCCCTCTAAATGCCAAGGCATGCTCCATCAGGGCACAAACAGCATCTTCTGCCTGCTTCAGGAACATGCCTCTCGGAGATTTACAAGGCAGCTATATGGAGTAACTCACTAATTTGTGTTAAACTGCCACCAGGTTATTTCCTGGTGAGTTAGGATAACCTGACCACCACAAATAGTGGGGAAGAAGCCCGAGACTCTAGCAGTACTTCATAGAGGTGTATTGGTATTTGTTATCAATTTACTTTTAGTCCAAATTCTACAAGTTTCTGCTCTGTGTTTCAAGAGCAATTAAACTCTTCCCCCCCCCCCCCCCCCCCTCCGGAACTCAAGTCTTTAAAGCAGGGATCTCAAACTCAATTTACCTTAGGGCCAGTGCCAGTCCTCAAATCCTCCCAGCAGGCCAATAATGTCACTGAAGATGGTGTTCAGAAAAGAAAACATTTATTGTATTTTTTATTTTGAATTTCTTAGAAATAATAAAACTGTCATACAACTTTATACAATTCTTCGCCTGCCAGAGTTTTTAGTGTTTGCCAGACACCTGGAAACACTTCAGTTCTGTCAGTTTGTTGTTTGGCCTCAGTGACTGAGCAGTTGAAACCTTCAGGATTGCAGCAAGGTGTGCATCAGATAGTTGTGTTCAGTATTTTGGCTTGTTTATATTAATTGTGGGAAAAAAGTGACGCTGCCGCTATGTCTGACTCTGCCCGGCAGGGCCGGCTCCAGGCACCAGCTTGCCAAGCAGGTGCTTGGGGCGGCCACTCTGGAGAGGGGCGGCACGTCCAGCTATTCGATGGCAATTCGGCGGACGGTCCCTCACTCCCGCTCGGAGCGAAGGACCTTCCGCCGAATTGCCGCCGCAGCTCGCGATCGTGGCTCCCCCCCCCGCTTGGAGCGGCAAAAACCCTGGAGCCGGCCCTGCTGCCCGGCAACTAATGATGCTGCCTCCATGGGTGACTCTGCCCAGCGACTAGTGATGGTATCTCTGCCCCTCTCCCCCAGCCAATGGGAGCTGCGGTGGGGCGGTGCCTGCAGCAAACATTGGGCAGCGTGTCTGCATGCGTCTCTCCTCTGTGGGCCACAGTGGGGAGGTTCTCGGACCGCAGATGGCCCGCGGGCCTGGACTTTGAGACCCCTGCTTTAAAGGAAGCAGGCCCAGCCCATGCCTGCTGTTCCTAATTTCTGAAGGTCTGTCGTGTTCCAGAATCTCTTGGGCTCCATTTTAGCCTTCCTGGGTTACTTGTCAGCCTCCCGACAAGTTTTCACTAGGCAATCCCTCTGGAAGCTATAGAACACCCTTCCTGGAGTTGACTATCATCTGCTAAAGTGAGCTGGGCTCCCTCCCACTCCTAGCAGTTTCTGTGAAGATTAGTGATTGATTAGCGTAGGCTGGATCACAACTCTAGTTCTGACTTCCTGGTGTAGGCCACTACATACAGCTGCTTCTCCAGGGACTTGGATTTCTTGTTTTCGCACCCAGTAACAGTTGACTGTGTCACACAAACATTATGCACTTGACATGGCAGCAAAGCCAGATGTCAAATTTTGGGAAAGCAATACTTCACTGTCTGACTGATACAGCGAAAACTCCTCAGTGCTACCATCCAGGGAGGATACTGCTTGCCAGTAACCTGCAGCGGGATCTACACTGACACATACTCAAAGAAGAGAGAACAGTTACTTACCCTATAGTCACTGGTTCTTTGATCAGTTGTAATTAGTGTGGATCCCATGTCTTGCCCTCTGTCCCACTTTTTGGAGTCCTCAGCAATACAAACTTTGAATTACAAGGAACTGACAGAAGGTCATGGTGGGAGCACAAGGTAATGCAGGGACTGTGAGCACAAGCACAAGGTAATGTGGGGAACATGTGCATTCCCGACTGACATAACTATTAAAAAAACCTTTTTCGTTCATGCACACCTACAGTGGAAACTACATTGACTATAGCAGCTCAAAGAGCCACAGTTACTGTAGGGTAGGTAACTGTTTTATTTGCTGTATCTAATCAGACAGTTAGCTCATCAAGCCTTATACCTGTCTCTAGCAATGACCAGTGTGACGGTTCATAGGAAAGTGGAAGATGCCTTTCCTCACCCATCTCCCTGATCCCCAAATTAATGCACATGGTTACTTCTGCAGTGCTGCACAGGGTGGTGGAGGGACAGATTCTATCCTGAATCCTGTATCAAATATCTTGTGACCTGAGGAATGAGAGCTGACTATTGTTGTTAACATTTAGTAGTCATTGCTATTGTTTATAAATTATGTGGATTTATTTATGTGCTGCATCTGCAACAAAGAAATGGAAAATATCAGTATTTTGTGGAAAGTGCTTTGGTGGACAGCAATTTAAAATATTTTGATAACTTTTCTAAGTATTGCACATTTCCTCAAAATATTGTAAATATACTGAGCAACATAAATAACAAGCGCTTCACAATAAGAGAAAATTTCCTGGGCTATAAGATGCCTTTCACTGTAGCAAAAATGTAGGTATATAAATGTGAATGACTTTTTTAAGTCTGGTTTTATACTTTTATTGTATTTTTTTGCCAATTTTTGTGCTTGTGAAATGCTTTTGTCAAACAGTGTTGCTGAGCTGACTCTTCATTGGTGCCTTCACTAAACTAAGTCTGACTAAGCTGCTCTGGAGTGACACTGGCATTCACTCTGATTTGGGGTCGTATTTGCATTCATATTGAATAAGAATTGAATACAATTTGAATGCAGTAGAAAGCAGTTCCACCTACGATGATTTGGCAGAGGAACATTGGGCACATTGCCAATATTGTCTGGAACCTATATATAAACGACTTTCAGCTATGTCGCTTCAGAAATCTTTGTTAGTGGTGGACTATACAAAAATAGATCACACTGGCTTTTCAAGAAGGTAAAAAAAGAAACCCTCCGTCTTAATGTTCGTTTAAAATTGTTTCAGAGAGTCCAATTACATGGTGTGAAAGCATCTATAGTCAATACTAGGGACCTATGCATAAATACAACCCTAGGATTTCTGGTCTCAGGGTAGTGGTGCTAGACAAGCTACAGTAGGTAATGCTCTTGGTCACTGAGAGAGAGGGGTTGTTTAATGTACATCTCAATAAAGCCTTTCAGTAATGAATTTATGGAGTAGCATTAGTGGCAAGGTCAGAAAAGTGTACCCTAGTTGAAAAGAGTCATACTATGGTAGTGAGACTCCACAATTCTTGTGGTGGAAGAGGAAAATTCATTGAGGTGTTTGCACCGCACATGCATACATATGCGTTCTCTTTCTCTCGTGTGCACGTGCGTGTCTGTTAGCCAAGAGAAAAGGTAAAACTCAGTCTCTGTTCAGTGGCTAAAAATCATGATTTAAAAAAACTTAAATCATATATTTACATGTATTTTTGTTTTTGTTTTTTTACTTTTCATTTTATAGTCTTAAATTGTTATAGTAGTACTTGTTTCTTAGTTTAATTGCTAAATCTCCTTTCCCCCAACTGAGATCTGAAATTCAGTAGGAAAAATTTCACACTGTGCTGAAACAAATCCAGGGCCTCATTAATATCCTTAATGCACAACACCACAAACTCCAACCCAAAATTGATAAGTAAAAGAGCCTGAGCTGTGTTTGCAAACAACATTACTTTTCGATATATTTAATTTCTACATTTCAAGGAAGCTTGAAATGCTTTGATCATACTGTCCTCTTTCATCAGGATTTGCAGTTTGAAGTCAGTGGGACCTGTGTGCCTAAATCACTAAGGTGCTTTTGAAAATGCCAACATTAAGAGCCTAAATTCAGGCCTAGAAATCTAACTTAAGGTTTCTATTTCTGAACTTTGGCCTGATTTTTTTTGTTTAAGTTCACCATAACTTAAATAACGTTTAATTGTTAAAACTGAGGTAACTTTCATTTTGAAGCGACAAAGATTTCATGCCACTAAGATTTTTAATAAACATTTTAGCTTTTAATTCTGGAAACAATTATGCACATGCTTAGCAAGCACAGGGGTAGTCCCGTTGAATTCAAGAACTTATGGGATCAGGACCTTATTTTTCAATATTTAGTTTTTTGCATATAGCATTTGTGTAAAATTCAACTAAGATACACCAATAATGGCATTTCAAGAAAGCATTTATTCTGCATGGGAGCATTTAAAAAAAGCATTAGTTCTGTGTAAATTTTAATCTAAAATTGCAATGGCACTAATTTTTGCATGAGTTTTACAAAGCCTCAAACTGATTTTAAATCATTTCAGTCTGGTTTCTGCCCTGAGATGCATAATGTCAAAAAGTGTGGATTTATCTTCCCTAGATGCCTACTGAGTGTCTTGACTTTTATTTCAGGAGTTCTCAGACTGCGGGTCAGGACCCCTCAGGGGGTCACGAGGGTATTACATGGGGGGTCGCGCGCTGTCAGCCTCCACCCCAAACCCTGCTTTGCCTCCAGCATTTATAATGGTGTAAAATATATAAATAAGTGTTTTTAATTTATAAGGGGGGCGTGTGGCACTCAGAGGCTTGCTATGTGAAAGGGGTCAATAGTACAGTAGTTTGAGAACCACTGTTTTATTTGAATGGAAAATCTGAAGCAACTTGCTGTCCCAGGTTTGTTTCAAGTGTAATATTTCAAGGTTTAAGAAAAGGCCTAAAGGTTTGAGAATAAACTCAATATACAGTATTTACTTATTTATTTGTTAATTTTGTAGGGTGTAGCTGGGAATCCTATGGTAAAGTCGGTGCTTGATAAAACAAAACACTCAGTAGAGTCCATGATCACCACGCTGGATCCTGGCATGGCTCCATATATCAGTAAGTATTCGAGGCAAACTTCCATAGGGTAGTAAGTGTGAATCATACAGAACTTGTAAACTTAAAGTGGATCTTATACTCTTTAGAAGACCTTTTAGGTACTGTACAGGTTTACAATGAAACTGATAATTTAAAAGCAGTACTGGAGTGTGGTGTACACCAAATTTTGTACGCAAGACAGGGGTTTTTTTTTTGTTTGTTTTTAATGTTGGGCCATGGTTCAAGTTACACAACACTGACTTTTAGTGGTGTGGTAGTGATGGAATCATTACATTTGGAATGCTGCTATCTTTCTATGCCCCACTTTGCAATCAATTTGTAACTTCCCCAATTAAACTTGGAGTTGAAATGTCTCTAATTCGGCTCAGGAAGTGTGCCATAATTTCCAAAAATAGGCACTTTTTGGAAAGTTGTATAAAAACCCATTCTGACACCTTAATTGGATGTTTTGTCAGGATAGTCTTGTGGTAAAGCACTGGACTGAGACTCAGGGGGCCTGGATTCTAGTCTCAGCTTTGCCACAGACTTTGTGTGATCTTGAACAAGTCACACAGCTACATCTACACTGTGAGCCACGGGTGTGATTCCCCTGCTCATGTACGCATACTTATGTAAACTTTTGTCAAGCTAGTGTGAGTATAAATAGCAGTGTAGCTGTGGGAGCATAGGTGGTGGCAGTGGACATGTGGCTGAGCTGTGCCGAGTACATATCTACTGGTTTCAGGTGGGTTTGTGCTCAACCGTGTGTCTGCTGCCACTACCCGTGTTACATGGGCAAAAACAATATATTTTCCCTTATGTCATTCTTGGAAAGAGCTGAACTATTTTAACTGACATGTTCTAAAAAGAATTTAACCTAAGGCAGGCACCTGGCATGGAAAATTTCAGTCTGAAGTTTGGCCAGATTGTGAGCTGCTGAAAATGGGGTCTTATAATGGAAGGCATTGAGCAAGCTTTACTATTGGTGGCGCTGCCAGCTCCGCTTATCATGTGAAGCATGTGTTATGTTTTGTAATCACGTAATGAAAGCCTCTGTTGTAATCTGTACATTAGAGGAGGAGAGCTAAACTTGACATGCTAACCTTAACTCTGAATTTCCTGACTTGTGGTTAAAACTCAAATTTAACATAGCTTTTAGCACATAATACCCCCTCCCCCCCAAAAAAAGCATTACATTATCTTGGCCTTTTTTAAAGAGGTTGCTTTAATTTTCTGTTTGTTCCTGCTGTCAGAGGATTTTCAGAAATGGCAGCTTAACAGACTAACAACTTTCCAGTCTTCTCTGTCTGTACAAAGTATTCATATTTGATACTTTGCAAGGGAAAATTAACATCCAACTAAACTACTTGAAGTTCAGCATTGTTGGCTTGAAAATACCAACATGTTATATTGAGGGGTTTTTTAAGCTGTTCTTAAGAAGTGAAGCATGTTGCAGCAAGGACTTTTGGAAGGTGCTGTGATGGATTAAAGCTTATCCAAGATTGGCTAGTGAAAATAAAGGGAATGTAATATCTAAAATAGTCTTAGAAGCAGTTAAAAAACAAATGTGTGGAGGTGGTGAAAATGTGTCATTTTTAGGCTTCTTCCAAAAGTATGAATTGTTTACTATAAAAAGTTTTTTTTTTTTTTTTAAATTCTTTCCTTAAAAATTATTTTCTTGATTAAAAATACAACCCACATTTCATAGATGTTAGCTGTCTAAGGAAAACATGAACTACAAAGATGCGGAACCATTAGAGCTGCAAACAAGCAGACACAGTTAAACAAACTATGTTGAAGTTCATAGTTCAAGAATATACTTGGAAAAAACCCTTTCGTTTGGGCTTTTTACAGTCTTATAAGTGTTAACGAGTATGAGGTGTCAGTTCATTTGCTTGTGAACAAGTTTCCACATCACCAAAACATATCAGACTTTATACCTATGGCCAGGATTTTTAAAAAAAATGTGTTAACCAAAGTCAGGCTTCTAAATTCATATTCTGGCTTCTATAAGTTGTCTGATCTTTAAAAAGGGCTGAGCATCCATCAGCTCCCATTGACTTCCCTGAATGCAAAATTTACTTTAAAAAAATCTTAATTTTAACTCTTCACCTAAAAGATTTCCTAAGTAGAGGTTACTTCATGAGAGATGGCTGGTGGGAACAATTTCCTTTTAACCAACACTCCTGTTTCCAGTACCCATTATAAGAAACTCAGCTTGACATGCGTTGTACATGTACAGTACATGAGGAAGTTAGGGAAAGAGAATACTGATTTTTATTGAGGCCTACTCTGAGATGTGAGTGTATTTTGAATTAGCTTCTATTAAAATATTTTGTCTTTGTAGAATCTGGGGGAGAACTGGACATAGTGGTTACCTCCAATAAAGAAGTAAAAGTTGCTGCCATTCGAGATGCTTTCCAAGAAGTCTTCGGAATGGCCACAGTTACAGGAGAAGCTGGACTGTCTAACATTGCACCACAACCTGTGGGCTATGCAGCTGGATTAAAAGTAAGGGGTTAATGGCAACGTAGAAAGTTTTGTGCGGAGAATATCACAAATATCAGTGATCGTGAGTGGAGCAGTTTGCCTAGAACAATCCCATCCTCTGAGGAATACCTTTCTGTCTCCCCAGAAAAATTAAATGGGGAAGATTTCTTGTTCATTACTGTCTTCGTGTATAGGTGTCATCTATGTCAAGTCAGTCATTAGAAAGTGGTCTCAGGCATTTGTGTCCTTTTGCAAAGACAGTTAAAGGGCATAAATATTTTGTCAATTTTCTACATGGTCACTGACTGCAAATGTACCTAGCATATTGTGTCAGATCATAAGTTTTACAGTGTATCAATTCTTGGTCCCCTGTCTACTTTACAGTACCATTTTAAATAAATTACACTAGTTTTAAAGGAGAGAGTCTCCTATGATGTTACCAACTTGATAAAGTTTTAACACAATTAGGTGATTAAACAGCCAGAACATAATGCTAGAAAATATAGGTGAGAGTAATAGAAACATTTACAATCTTTAACCATGGTGAAACTCAGCACCATTACAAGTAAAGGTGTCTTAATTTTCTTTCAATATAAAGCTAGTTATTTTTCACAGGAAGTCAGTAATTTGATTTGTAATGAACTAAAGCAGTTTTGAAACTGTCAAAAGTTTTATCACAGTTCCTGTAACTTTTGGGATTCTAAAGGAAGCATTTTTTACTTCAAAATGTTGTTTGTTATGCAACACCAAAGGCTTTTTGAACAATATCTGTGGTGTATCTTAATGATAAAAGTTACATTCGTCCATCAGTTTTATGCTGTGTTGTGACCTAAAGAGAATATTTTCTAACAACTTGTTACGTTGTCATCTAGGGAGCTCAGGAAAGGATAGACAGCTTGCGTCGGACTGGAGTGATACACGAGAAACAGCCTGCTGTGTCTGTAGAAAATTTCATCGCAGAATTGCTTCCTGACAAGTGAGAGGCTTAAACGTATTCTTTGGAAGAAAAATCATTCTGTATTGGGTCCAGGTGCCCCATAAAGAGTTGTTAGCAGTATTCTACTTGGGAGATGAAAGGAGAGAATCTGTCAGTGTACGGTATTGTCTTGGCAGGCTTTGCTTTGATGAAATTGTTCAGCTTCTTGTCCAAAAAATCTTGAGAGCTTAATAGCTAAATTCCGTCAGGTTTATGAGACTCAAAGTTGAAAAACATGCCACAGTTGCACTTAAATCTACAGAAGTGCGAGACTTATAATAAAGTAAGAGTTGGAATTGGTTACTAGTTCTGTTCTAAAATGACAACTGATTTAGAGAGTATACTGGCTAGATACTGAGACTCTAGTAATGTTATGCTGAGGTAGTACCTTCATCTAATAAGGTATGATATTCTCAAGTCTGGTCAGTTTTCCTTTACTGTTCACACAAAATGTACTTCCCAGCACTGCTCTCAGCAGTTGTGACAGACTTGTTTTGGAGTTCACATTAACTTGTTTTCTAAACAAACTATTTTCCTAAGAAAAGATGGAACTGACAAATAATTGTTGAAGTAATTCTTTTCTTAATACAATTTGAGAAGTATTAGGGCCCATTTCTTGTTTGTCTTATATGATTTCTTCAGAAAATACTTCTTTTAAGAAGAAACAAAAAAACAAACAACCCTCCACAGCCTTGCTGTGCTGGGCTTTGATTTGTTTATTTTTTGAACCTACTCTGCTCCATTCAATTACACTTTTCAAAGCTACCTTTAATACTTTAGGTAGAAGATGGAGCTTGGATTTTAACCCTGCCAGAGTTGCATCATTGCCAGAATGCCATTCTTCAATTGGTTGATGTTCTTTACTGTTTAAAGCTTTGGGTAACTTGTGTGCCATTGCAGATGGTTTGACATTGGATGTCTGATTGTTGAAGATCCAGTCCATGGGATTCATCTAGAAACTTTTACCCAAGCGACACCAGTGCCTCTGGAATACATTCAACAGGTGAGGGTTTTTTCATCTTTTATCAGGGGGTAGACTTATGGCCTGAGCACTAGGAGTCAGAACTCCTGAGTTCTAATCTCATCACTGACACTGATTCTCTGGGCAGTTACCTCTCCATTTATAAAATGAGGCTAAGGTCTACCTGAAATCTGTTGTGAAAGTTAGTCAATATGTGTAATGGCTTTTTGCAGATAAACACTGTACAAGTCTCATTACTTTTTTAAATTAAAAAATCCAAAACAACTTGTGTAGACACATTTCAGTTTGCAAACATGATTTTTCATAGGTAAATCCAAGATGACAGTTGGCAAAAGCCATGTCATAAAGATCTAGATTGTGCCCAGGAAAGAAATTTTAAATTTTAAAATGCTTTCAATAAAGAATAATGGAATGTTTGAAAATAATGAATTATTAAAACATGCTATGCAGGTTACTGCTGAGTCAATATATTTTTCCATCAGTGAGAAGATGACAGTTTCTGAATCATAATGCTTGCATTTGTATTAAGTGTGACTTAATGACACAACAAGTTATTACCCAATCCTACAATATATTAGAGGGCCAAAATGCTGAGCCAGCATGGAGTCCTATTGCCTTCAGTGAACCTATATGCAAGTGCAAGGGTCTTCCCATGCATGGTGTTTTGCTGGGTTAAGACCTTCTGTTTATCATATTTAATCTTGGTTTTAGGTTATTTTGCACATAACTTAAAATAATAAAACTGGTCCTTGTCTTGTCACTTTAAGTGAAGTGTAGCCTTGCTCTAGGGAACTTGGGATTCACCACTCCTGGATTCAATTCCTAGCATTGCCACTGACTCAGTATCACCTTTTCTAAGGGCCTTAGCCTATTCCTTAGCTTGCCCTTCTTTACTTGCCATCTCCACAGAAGTATTGAGAGTTTCAATTAATAGTAAAACTATTTGAGAGGTTTGGCTGAGATGAGCTGTGTGAGTGCAAATTATTGTTTGTATACATAAATGTTAGCATTTTAACAATGTGACCTAGACTCCATTTAGATCTTCATTTATAAAATATGTAGCTATCACATAAGACTTGAGGCAAAGTTTAATGACTTTTTAAAAAATTGAGTTCATAAATGTGATTTAAACTGCCAACAATTAGCAACAAACAGACAATCCCAAGATTCAGTAGCAGCAATCACTATGGAGGAAATAAGAATAAACAAACAACTGCCCTGTCATTTCTTAATAAGTGGGAGGTATCTCCTATCCAAACCTGTGTATGGGTTAAAGCCCTGCGTAAACAGATTCTTTGTTCTGAGGCTGTGACCTTAGAAGATGTAGGCTGTGATCTTTCCTCTTTGGGCTGTGGCACTCCAACAAAGAGAGGAAATTTCAGAACTGACTCTCCAATCAGAATGCCCTTTGAAAGTTTAAACTTCAGAATATCTGAGCTCATATCAGAGACACAAGGTAGGTGAGGTAATATCTTTTATTGGCCTAACTTCTGTTGGTGAGAGAGACGGGCCCTGAAGAAGACGTCTGTGTAAGCTCCAAAGCTTCTCTCTCTTGCCAATTGAAGTTGGTCCAATAAAAGATATTACCTCGTCCACTTTGTCTCTCCAGTATCCTGGGGTCTACCTGGCTACAACTACACTTCATACAACGTTAGTTTATCTCATCCACTTTAAAGGTCACAAATCAAATATAGCCTAACATCATCTAGCTTTTGCAAAACATAACCAATAAGAATTTTTTTCTATTGTTTCCCAACATTTTTCTGTAGGAACTTTCCAAAGAAAAATTGCTAAACAAAACAGTTTTTTTCTGAATATAAACTTCAGTTTCAGTTTTTGAAAACCCAAAACACCCAGATGTGGGTGTTTATCTGTTTTGCTACTGAATCCAATGGAAGACCGCCTGGATCTTTTTTTCACTTTAATTTTTCAGAACTTTGTCCAACTTTGGGGAATGTGCACATTCCAAAAGGAAAAATGTAACTTTTTCGGACTCATGAGCCTTGTTGACTTGTATTCAACTTGTGATCCACTGTAACCCTGAGATCATTTTTAGCAGTACTATCGCATAACCAGTTATTCCCCATTTTATAGTTGTGCATTTGATTTTTCCTTCCTAAGTGTAGTACTTGGCATTTGTCTTTACTAAATTGCATACAAAAGTAAAAATACAATTTGTAGTGGCTAAGACTTAACAAGCCACAACCTTTATTCAAGGCAGATTTCTTACCAATCTTTTTCTTTCCAGCCATGGCTGCCTTTCTGTCAAAGATCTTTACCTAAGCAGGTTTTTTACTTACATTCAGGTCCCAGAGACTTCCCTTTTGTTGAATTACTACCTATCTTTTTCAGCTTGCAAGAGCTCTGGCCCCTTGTCTCTGTCCAGTGATGGATGCCAAGATGGCTTCTTCTCTCTCCTTATATCTTCCCAATCTCACTGTTTTGTCCCCAGACTCAGGATGGACCTCTGGCTGTTCTTCCCTTTCTGTGGACTTTCTATCCCCATGCTGATTCATATGTAAAATGACTTTTGTTTTGATTCAACAGTGCTACCTTCCCTCCTGTCTAGGGAAAAACCTGTTTCTCTCTGTGTTTGGTCACAGACTTTAAAGCATAATATCATTGCGTATCCAAATTTCCTCATATAGTGTTAATACATACATTTCATAATGATATTAATCAACGGTGTGTTACTAGCTTTCATAAAAGACCTTACTTGATACACGTTTATAAAAAAATAATATTATATACAATCAGTTGATTCCATTACTTATTGTTTGAGGTTCAGATCCCCTCCAGAGGCTCTCTCCCCCACTTGCTGGGTTGATATCTTTGTTTACCTTTCTATATAACTGTGCCTTCGTTGTCTGCCTGACCAGCAAATACATATTTCTTTGTTTAGGTCAGACTGGCCTTATGCATTGCTTTCCAGTGATATATTACATGCCATCTTTTGGGTATGTATCATGACGGTGTGTCAGGTGTGGTGAGCATGTCAGGCCTGATAAGAGTTGCTGACACAGAGTAGTAAACCACCAATTGGTCTCTGTGTTATAGCATACACTCCACTCCATTACCTAAGTCATTAATGAAAATGTTGAATAGTACCAGGCCCAGAAGTGACCCCTGTGGGAGCCAACTAGATAAGCCCTCCCAGTTTGACAGCAAACTATAGAGAACTACTGTTTGAGTACAATCTTTCAACCAGTTGTGCACCCATCTTATAGTAATTTCATCTAGACCACATTTCCCTAGTTTGCTTATGAGAATGTCAGACTGTGTAAAAAGTGTTACTAAAATGAAGATGTATCATGTCTACTGCTTCCCTCCTAGTCAGTAGCCAGTAACCCTGTAAAAGAAGGAAAGTAGATTTGGTTGGTATGATTTGTCCTTGACAAAGCCAAGCTGGCTATTCCTTATAACTGTTATCCACTAGGTGCTTACAAATTGATTGTATAGTAATTTGTACCAGTAACTTGCCAGGGATCTGTTATGTAATTTCCTGGGTTCTCTTTTAAAGATAAGTACTACCTTTACCCTTCTCCAGTTATCTGGGACCTTACCTGTCCTCCCTGAGTTCTCAAAGATAACTGCTAATGGTTTTAAGATTGCTGAAACTAGTTCCTTAAGTACCCTACTGACCTGAATACATCTAACTTATCTAAATATTCTTTAACCTGTTCTTTCCCTGTTTTGGCTTGCATTCCTTCTCCCTTGTTGTTCATACTAATGGTGTTAGTATCTTGTCACCCATCAACCATTTTGGTGAAGACTGAAACAAAATAGACATGAAATACCTCAGCCTTCTTGATAATCTATTATTAGCTCTCTTCCCCCCCCCCCCCCCCCCCAAGGACTTTACCCTCAACCAAGTGAGTGGACAAGAATACAACCTGCACCCCCTGACTCCTTCACCCTCACTCCCAGAGCCCTGTGCTCATTGCTGAGCTGCTCAGGGTCATATCTGGAGTGTCATTCGTGACCATATGGATGAGCAGCATGAAGTAGTGGTTGGAGGGACAGAGGAGCCTTAGCAACTTTTCTGTAACATTTCAGGTGTAGGCTCCAGGCTAGCAGAACATCTCCTGAAATATCATGTCAGGTTGGCAGATGGATTCCTCCATTCCCCTTGAAAGGGAGTCCCCGATCACCAACGTTCTGCACTGCCTTTTTGGGGTTGGGGGTGGCCGTAAGCATCCTAGCTTTGGGTGCAGGTGGCTCCTCCTTCTCAGCCATTGGGGTCTGCTCACATATTACCATCTGTCACAATTATCTATCCCCTTATTAAACAATTCTTTTGCTGCTAATTTAATTCTCTTGAGAGGAAACTTTGGTCTTGCATCAAAACTGTTGTATACTTTTGTCAATGACAAAATTCATGACAATGTTAGGGCAGAATTTGATTATATTCTAGCAAATGTCCTGGCGTTTATTGTCATCTAATGGTGTATTGCTTCTACAGGACAGTAGGATCTGTGAGGCTGTGCACACAATATGGGTATTTCAACTTAGGTAGACAGTGCACACACTGGATCTGATTGAGTCAGTGAGAATGTTGCCACTCAAGGAGCTAAGAATGTGACACATTGTAATTTTAATGAAATTAGTATGGTATGGTGATCTAAGGAGTTGACACCCAGTTCTGGTATGGACTCCCTCTAATTTTGGGCAAATCGCTTGGAGTCTGTCTGATTTTCCACATTGAGATGGGATACTTGTTTCATAGGGTTTTTATAAGGATTATATTTTTAAAGCCCATTGAAAGATGAAAATCACTAGATATATAAGTAACTTTATTGATCACATCTGTTTGGTAACTTTTTAATATAACATTCTGGTAATGACAGGGTGACTTTATTTTAATAGTCATGCTGTACTCCAGCTCTGGGAATGTCTAATGGTTGTCTAAGAATGTAATATGTACAACTATGAAAAATTGTTGGGTGGGCAGAGGTGTAACCAGTTATTGTGGGGCAAACTTTTAGGGTCAGATTCTAATACCCTTTCTCCTTGTATATGCTTATTCAGGAAGTCCTATTAAAATTACTGAGACTACTGACCAAACAAAGTGTTAATCCAGGGGAATATGGGTATTAGAACCCGGCCCTTTATCTCATTCATTTAATAACATCTCCTCAAATTATTACACAGGCTCAGAGTCTCACTCCCCAGGACTACAGTCTAAGATGGTCAGGTCTTTTGGTGACAGTTGGTGAAGTGCTGGAGAAGAATTTACTGAATATCAACAGGACTGATTGGCATGTGGCATTCACTGGTATGTCCCGTCGACAAATGATCTACAGTGCAGCCAAGGCTATAGCAGGAATGTACAAACAACACTTACCACCCAGGACCATTTGAAAGAAGCTTGACTCATCACACTGAGTACTGTTTTTCTGTTCGGCTTGATATGAAGGAAAAGATTGCAGCTTCTGCCAATATTCAAGTCCTCAGTGGATACAGCACAATTTTGTAATCTACCTGTCAACTGTAATTTTTTTCTTTTAAAAAAAATGAAGGTACTGTTCCAATAATGGAAATGAACAACTCCAATTTTTAGTAATCCAGTATAATTAATGAGAAGGGAATTAGATGCAAACAGATACATTTATAGCAGGGCCAAATAGCATTAAAATTTGTAAGGTGGAATGCATTTTCATTTCAGACACTTAACTTAATATTTTATTTACTCAAGTATAACTTTTTAAAAGGGGGTGAGGGTACAAATATTATCTTTTGCATTTCAGTCGAGGCACTACCCTGTATTTTCTAGATGTCTAAATTTTGGAAGTATTTAGCACTTCATAGGGTTGGCCCCTATGTGTGCATGATCTCAGAACTGTTGCTGAGTAGTTCTAAAGCATCTTAAAAGTGAATAACCAAGGAAGGGCATAAGTCCATGCTCAAATATATCCAAGGTGTGGGCCAAAATAACTTTGAATTTTCATCTTCCATACCTCTTTAAAAAAACAAAAACTTTTTCTGAAGTATGGTCCAAGACAACTCCCCTGGAAACCAGTGAATTAGGCACTTCATACACATGAAAATGTGTCAACAACTCAGTATAACACAATTCACTTACTCCAGCATTTATTTACATACAGTCATCCGGGGTACATAACACAAGCTCTTATGTAATTTTCTTTATCAGTTTTCATCTACCACACGTTAATATAGCAAACTGTGACATTCATACGGTTTGCTCTGCCATTCTATATTTTCCAAAGCAGGAATAGACTCCTGCATGGTGTGATAGGTGTCGTTGATTCACTGCTTCTCCTATATATCTGTCCTTCATAGCTGAAGATACCCCATATCTATGCTCAAAGATAATCCTAAATCTCTATTCAGAAATACAGAAGTTATTGTAAAAGAACATTTTGATAATAGGTTTGTTTTAAAAACAAACAATGAATTCTTTGTTTGCCTTAAACACTAGCTTTTCAGCTTGAACTGCTCTGCCTTATCTTTTGTAGATGCTTTCAAAGAACATTTTTATATGCCATATACTGTCTAGCCAACTTCTTATATTTGTACCCAGTGAAAACCTGTCCTTTTTCCAAGTAATATATTTTGCCATAATTGGCTCAGTGTAAATTAATATTAAATAAACATTTTTCCTACAGAATTAAACCTTTTTCATTTAAGATTTTTTAAAATAGTTTGCTTGAATGAGTGTAACTTTTACTGTGTCTTACACAGGCCATTTGTATAACTGGTATGTAGTGACACAGCATAGCTTGTTATCTGAAAATAGAAACCTACTAGTTCAATATTTTTGGACCAAGAGCTCAAAATAAGAGAGGGAAGTGGGCACGAACAAGCTCTTTATTTTCTTCGCTGCTCTGAGTCTCTAAACCATTCGATCTCATGCCCTCTTTTCTTTCTCAAATTTAGAGTATTTGACCTCTTCCCCAGGAAAAGTGGGGCTTGGATAATATAGTGATGAAGACCACAGAGGTATCTAGAAAGACTTTTCATGTGGAGTCCGAGGTGTCTCTTCCCTCTTCATGAATCTTTTGAAAATAACTGAATAATAAAAGAAAATCAAGAATCTGAGATAGTATCATGAGAAGAAAATCAAGCAAATGAAAATCACTCCAGAAACAGAGTCAGTTTTATGTCTTACACAATCTCTTACAGAATGAGTGTGTCTCCAGTCAATTTTATTTGTACCACGACTGTAGCAGGCAACATGTTACCTGGAAAATATTTTCAGCAAAGATGGTAAACTGCTGCTATGTCTAATCCTGTCTGTAAGAGCAGCCTGGCCTTTTCCATCATAATCCAGAAAGATGGTACAGGAACCTCTTGTCTGCCAGTCTTCAGTAAGGGCATCTTTGCCCTTTCAATTTATGGATTTTTTTTTTTCTTGAATACACGTTGTGAAAAATGTTTGTTGCTCTTTTTCCCCAAGGTGGAGGTAAAAGATTCTAATACTCAATGGGGTTACATGTCCAGGCATGAATCAGACAGCCTATTTCAATTTTAATAGGCTACCTTGTTTTTCTCCTGGACCTTTTTGTCCTCTCTCCTGACAGTTGTCACCATGATGAAGTGAACCGCTGCTAATTTTTCAGCACCTTACTCACAATGACAGCTGCTCAAGAATGGGTGGCCGTGACATCTACTTCCTATGATACTACTTGGTAGGATTGAAGTTGCCCAACTGCCTGACCCAGGTTATTTGTGTAGTGTATAGCACTGTTATAACTCTTTACCTCCAAGAGTTCATCACCATACAAAACAGTCAAGAGTCTGCTATGCCAGTGCGGTCTCTGAATCCCCAGTGTCAGTTGCTTCTTCAAATGTTCCAAGAGCATAGCTCCAAAATTCTGGGTAGATGGTAATTTTTTAAAAGGATGCCACTCATTCAGACTAGGAATTCCCTACTAGTTTTCTGGACAAAAAGTCAAACCACTAACCGTTTCTTCTCAAATGGGGTATTAAACTCTGAACAGTTGGAGTGTATGAGGCAGGAGCATATATTCTCTGTGGAATGCAAGTAGTTCCACAGTGAGATCAAACACATTCTCGACTGCTGCTAGAAAAAGGAAGCACTGAAACTGCTTGTCTGTAAGGCAAGCTCCCTGCACTGTGCTCTGAAGCCTGACAAATTAGGCTATATTGGACCAGCGTGGGAGCCCACTGCGGAGTCTGAGCCCTTATAAGAAACACCTTGCTAGCTGCTCCAATTCCTCTGTTACATCAAGGGGGATCTATGATCAGCTCTTCTGCTGATAGTAACTGGGACTGTATCATGGGGGAAGTGAGGGGGTCTCTCAGGTGAACAATATGATGGCCCACAATTCTAAATTAACACAGTTCTTTAAGAATAAATGTGCTTGCTTATAAGGTAAAAGCATTACAGAGAAAACATTAAAAACAACAAAAGAACCTACACCCATGCTAAAAAGCTTACCCCAGGTCACCCCAAGTCTACCTTCGGGTTCTAGTAGGTGTCAGTCCTTAAAAACCTTTAACTGGGTTTTCCTTGTGGTTAAAAGTTCATAACTGTCTTAGGTTCAGAACCGGATCAACCATGAATAGTTCAGTCTTGACTTTATACAGCTTGGGCCTTTGATCCTGGCCTCATGTGATAGGTGATCAGCAGACAGGTGATCAACAGACAATGATCCCCTCTGCAGGTATAGCTTCAAAAGGCTGCATTCACCTCCCTTCAGATATTCCCCTGGAGAAAACTCGTTTTGTTCCAAAAGTCCATTAGTGTCTGTCACATTGTTCAGCAGAGTCCTTTGAACCCCTCCCCCAGTGTCTCAACTGTCACATCTCCTCCCTTGAGAGGTTATATACAACACTGGTTCACAGTAATACATAAACTATTCATTTAATACCATGGACCCCAAAGATACTTAAACTTAATTTAATAACGTCTTCTAACAACATTTTAGGAAACTGCCATCTGTCACTTCTACTATGCTGCCATTAATTACAATTAATTGATAATGAAAACTTTAAAACAAAGACAAAAACAATGTGTGGTGCTTGTGAATAACTTGTGAAAACATGACCATCACTTTGCAACTCCCAGCTCTCTCGTACTAGTTACGCTGTCTCAAAATGGAACAGTTCCTGTTATCGCTAAGATTCTTTGTTGGGATTTTCTCTGTACTATGGTTGGATTCCCTAGTTTTGACCCTAATTTTCTTCAAGCTTCTTTAGCAAGAAGCACAACATGAGATTAAAGTCATTGCCTCTGTTCTGATGACATCTGATTTGCTCTGTTTTTAACTTTCCTTTTTTAGTTTCCAGTACTTCTGTCATTCCGTTTTGTCTATATTTTTTTCTCCCCGTCTCCTCCCAAACAGTCACTTCTCTTATTTTGTTCTTCTTTAAACTTTTCTTTATATAACTGATCATACCATTCAACATTCAACGGAAGTCCTGCTGCTGTCACTATATCTTCCTCAGATACTTTCGTACTCTCTCAGGCTGCCATTCTGAACCTTCTGATATCATCACTTCCTCCTACTGTTGACATGAACCCAGTCATTCCACTTACTCATTGAAGCAGGGGCTCTATGTATCAACTGAGAATGCAAGTTGCCCCTCCCCTCTCTGTTTTTGCATTCAGCATTTAACATCAATGTATGTGGATGTAGCATTCAAAGCAAGATGTTAAATGTTTCCTATCTTGCCTGGTGTGTTTTTTCCCCCTCTGTCTGATTCTTTTTATTATGTATTTGAAAAGGTATTCAAGGGCAGAAAGGAACCACTGACACTCCTAGTGAATTCTACCTATTCCTATTTAATGTTCCCAAACATTTGGAGCCATAAATCAAAGGAGTATTTATGGTGTAATTTTACCATAGAAGGGACTGCAGTCTGGGATATTTTCACATTTGTGAAGTTTTCAGTGAATTAAAGACTTAGACCAAAGGATGCACCCTCTGCTTCTAACTAACATCTTTTTAAAAGGCAATTTTTAATAATCTCATCAGATTGTCTTACTTACATGTATTAAAACTCATTTGTATTGTTTAAGTGTAACAAATCCATGGCTACCCATAACTTTATGGTTGTCACTAATGCTACAGACTTTTTGATTGTTTAGCACTTTGCAGTGCCAGAGAAGCTAGGATTCATGCTCTAAAAAACACAGGCCCTTACCACATAAACGATTGGGAAATCTTCTTCAGCTGTTTTGAGACACTGCAATAATATAAATAATAATAATAATAAATAAATTATCTATGGCCCTGTCATAACTATAAAGGGAAGGGTAACAGCTCTCCTGTGTACAGAGACGCCAAATCCTTTTACTTGTAAAGGGTTAAGAAGCTCGGGTAACCTGGCTGACACCTGACCCTAAGGACCAATAAGGGGACAAGATACTTTCAAATCTTGGGGGGGGAAAGGCTTTTGTTTGGTGTCCTTTGTTTAAGGGGTTGTTCGCTCTTGGGACTGAGAGGGACCAGACATCAATCCAGGTTCTCCCCATCTTTCTAAACAAGTCTCTCTTATTTCAAAACTGTAAGTAAAAGCCAGGCAAGGCGTCTTAGGGTATGTCTACACTACGAGGGTATTTCGATTTCACTTAAATCGAATATGTGGAACCGATATTGCAAAGTCGAACTTGTGTGTCCACACTAAGGACAGTAATTCGACTTTGTGAGTCCACACTAACGGGGAAAGCGTCGACATTGGAAGCGGTGCACTGTGGGCAGCTATCCCACAGTTCCCGCAGTCCCCGCTGCCCATTGGAATTCTGGGTTGAGCCGCCAATGCCTTCTGGGTAAAAAAAAGGGTCGAGGGTGTTTTTGGGTAATTGTCGTCATCCGTCTGTCACTACCGCCCTCCCTCCCTCCCTGAAAGCACCGGCGGGAAATCAGTTCGCGCACTTTTCGGGTCAGTGACAGCGCGGACGCCACAGCACTGCGAGCATGGATCCCGCTGCGACCATCGCTGCAGTTGTGGCCCTTGTCAACGCCTCGCAGGTTATCATCCACCTTTCCCAGAGGCAGATGCAGATAAACCAGGCGAGGAGGCTACGGCACCGCGGTGAGGGCCTGAAGTCTGAGAGTAGCACAGACCTGTCAGAAAGCACGGGACCCCGCACCGAGGACATCACGGTGACAATGGGTCATGTGGATGTTGTGGAACGGCGATTCTGGGCCCGGGAAACAAGCACGGACTGGTGGGACCGCATAGTGCTGCAGGTCTGGGACGAATCCCAGTGGCTGCGAAACTTTCGCATGCGGAAGGGGACTTTCATGGAACTTTGTGAGTTGCTGTCCCCTGCCCTGAAGCGCAATGACACCCGGATGCGAGCAGCCCTGACTGTCCAGAAGCGAGTGGCCATAGCCCTCTGGAAGCTTGCAACGCCGGACAGCTACCGGTCTGTCGCGAACCAGTTTGGCGTGGGCAAATCTACCGTGGGGGTTGTTGTGATGCAAGTAGCCAACGCAATCGTCAAGGTACTGCTCTCAAAGGTAGTGACCCTGGGAAACGTGGAGGTCATCATAGATGGCTTCGCCGCGATGGGATTCCCAAACTGCGGTGGGGCTATAGATGGAACTCACATCCCTATCCTGGGACCGGACCACCAGGCCAGCCAGTACATCAACCGAAAGGGCTACTTTTCGATGGTGCTGCAAGCACTGGTGGAACACAGGGGACGTTTTACCAACATCAACGTTGGATGGCTGGGCAAGGTTCATGACGCTCGCGTCTTCAGGAACTCTGGTCTGTTTAGACGGCTGCAGGAAGGTATTTACTTCCCGGACCACAAAATAACTCTTGGGGATGTGGAGATGCCTACAGTGATCCTTGGGGACCCAGCCTACCCGCTAATGCCCTGGCTCATGAAGCCCTACACTGGCGCCCTGGACACTGAAAAAGAACTGTTCAACTACCGGCTGAGCAAGTGCAGAATGGTGGTGGAGTGTGCTTTTGGACGTCTCAAGGGGAGATGGAGAAGCTTACTCACTCGCTGTGATCTCAGCGAAACCCCATTGTTATAGCTGCTTGCTGTGTGCTCCACAATCTGTGTGAGAGCAAGGGGGAGACCTTTATGGCGGGGTGGGAGGTTGAGGCAAATAGCCTGGCATCTGATTACGCCCAGCCAGACAGCCGAGCGATTAGAAGAGCCCAGCGGGACGTGCTGTGCATCCGGGAGGCTTTGAAAGCTAGGTTCCACAGTGAGCAGGGTAACCAGTGACTTTTACGTTTCTGTACAGAGAAGCTGAACCTGCCCCCGTTTCTTTACCCAGTTAAGGATGACTATCCTCTCCCGTTACAGACCCCCTCCATCCCCTTCCAAAAAAATAAAATCAGTTTTATTTTGTTATTGAACACCGTTGTCTTTAGTACTGTTTTCGTGGGAATCTTTGAAACCGGGGACGCAGACTGTGGTGGGAAGCGGGTGTAGTGTACTGATGCAAATGATCCTTCTATACTCCAGGAATGACAGGATTCGCAGTGGCGGACTGGTTGTTTCAACGGAGCCTGCCAGCCCTCCTGAGCGGGACTGCGTGTATGTGGGGGCTATGTGACTTTATGGCAGGGGGAGGAGGGTTACAGCTCCCCTGCTGCGTGGCTCTGTGATCCAGGACAAGGACCGCTGCATAAGATCTGTAACTGCCTTCCCCCGCCACAAAGTCACAGAGCAAACAACCACCCCCCGCCCCCCACAGAACATGAAAACCACCTCCCAGACTGACCAGGGTAACTAGTCACTGCACTGTGTATGTGCCCTGCTGCTGGACCTGCCCCCGCCTCTGTACCCTGCTAAAGGTGACTGTCCTGTCCAATTACCAAGCCCCTTCCCCCCTCCAGACAGACTCTCCCTCAAAAGAACCTGACTGAAACAGTAATGAACAGAAACATATTTTTTATTAACAACCAGACAGGAAACTGGGGGGTGAAAGTTGGACGGGGGCTTGGGTGAGGCGGGCAGGAAAGGACTTTTCAAATTTTGGGGAATGACAGCCTTCTGGTGCTTGAGCAGTCTGCAGGGGTGGAGTGAGAGTTTTCAAGGACTCTGCCACCCCTCCTTCTTTGGACTTTGGGAGAGGGGGGTATGGGACTTGGTGGCGGGGGAGTGCGGTTCCTGATAGACTGCAGCGGGGCTCTGTCCTCCTGCCTCCGTTCCTGCAGAACATCAACAAGGCGCCGGAGCGTGTCCGTTTGCTCCCTCAGAAGTCCAAGCAGCGTTTGAGTCGCCTGCTGGTCTTCCTGCCGCCACCTCTCCTCACGTTCCATGTGTGTCCGGTGCATTTGTGACAAATTCTCCCTCCACTGGTTCTGCTGTGCTGCCTGGGCTCGGGAGCAGCCCATTAGTTCTGAGAACATGTCCTCTCGCGTCTTCTTCTTCCTCCGCCTAATGTGCGCTAGCCTCTGGGAGTGTGATGCCAAGCAGTGTTGGGAGACAGTTGCAGATGTGGCTGTGGGAATGAGGAAAAGGCAGTGAATTCCTCCGAAAGATAAATGTGGTTGTGAATCAAGAACATAGTTTTTCTCTGTGAACAAGACCATGAACCACACCTATCACATGCGCACTCAGGACAAGGTCGAATTTTTGAACCTCGCCTTCACTGCCTGGGCTTTTGCACTGCCGATCTGGGAAGCGGAGCAGGACACGGTACTCTCTGTAGCAGGCAAACATGGTAAGCCGTAGACTTGTGGCTGCTTAAAACTTTAGGAGTACCACTGGCCTCCTTTCACATTGAAAGCACTGCCAGTCTGTGCTGCCAGCAATCAGCCAAGCAGGAACTCTGGCCCTGTCCCACCCCCTCGCGGATGAGCCAGGGAAAGATCCCTGTATGCTGCCCCTCTCCCGCCCCCACCGCGTGGCTGTAAACCAGCGGTCACAGTTCTGTAAAGGAACTTGTTGCAAGCAGTCCCAATACTAACAATCCCCTACCTAATTCAAAGCAGGTCATCATGAGCGACATTACTCTCATGAGGATCCCGGACACCGAGATCCAACGGATGCTTCGAGAAAGCCTGCAGAGACCGGGGCCCTATGCCGCCATGCTATGCAAGGCAATGATACCGGAGTACCTGCTTGTCTCCTGGCGTGGGAACGTCTCCTACTTCGGAGGACCAAGTAAAGCCGCTCTCCCCAGGAACCTGATGAACAGGCTATTCCATTACCTGCAGGAGAGCTTTGTGGAGGACTACTGCTCTATCCCCAGACATATAGACAGGATTCTAATGTAGCTGCAGTAGCAGGGACTAAAGAGTGGAGCAGCTTGGGCAGCACAATCATGCACAACCGGACACTGTTTGATTTTTTTTAAATAGTTGTTACTGATTACTTAAGCGCCCAGGGGGAAGAAATCATGATTCACAGATTGTTCTTAGTACTAATATTCAAGTTTTGTAAAAAATAAAGGTTAATATGTTTAAAGCACTTACCGCTTGATCCTTCGCCTGACTCTGTGTCCAGGTTACATGCTGGGGAGGGTTGGTAGGGGATCTCTGTAAGGGTGATGAAGAGCTCCTGGCTGTCGGGGAAATCAGCTTGGTAAGCGCTGTCGACTGCCTCGTCCTCCTCATCTCCTTCCTCATCTTCCCCGTCCGCTAACATGTCCGAGGAACCGGCCGAGGACAATATCCCATCCTCAGAGTCCACGGTCAGTGGTGGGGTAGTGGTGGCGGCCGCACCAAGGATGGAATGCAGTGCCTCGTAGAAACGGGATGTGTGGGGCTGGGATCCGGAGCGTCCGTTTGCCTCTTTGGTCTTCTGGTAGCCTTGTCTCAGCTCCTTGATTTTCACGCGGCACTGCGTTGCATCCCGGCTGTATCCTCTCTCTGCCATGGCTTTAGAGATCTTCTCATAGATCTTTGCATTCCGTCTTTTGGAGCGCAGCTCGGAAAGCACGGACTCATCGCCCCACACAGCGATGAAATCCAAGACTTCCCGATCAGTCCATGCTGGGGCCCTCTTTCTATTCTGGGATTGCACGGCCATCTCTGCTGGAGAGCTCTGCATCGTTGCCAGTGCTGCTGAGCTCGCCACGGTGTCCAAACAGGAAATGAGATTCAAACTGCCCAGACAGGAAAAGGAATTCAAATTTTCCCGGGGCTTTTCCTGTGTGGCTGGTCAGAGCATCCGAGCTCGGACTGCTGTCCAGAGCGTCAACAGAGTGGTGCACTGTGGGATAGCTCCCGGAGCTATTACCGTCGATTTCCATCCACACCAAGCCTAATTCGATATGGCCATGTCGAATTTAGCGCTACTCCCCTCGTTGGGGAGGAGTACAGAAGTCGAATTT